TGCTTCAGCAAAGAGGACAGAGCTTATGCACTGCTGAACTCTATCGTGACACTGGCCTTCACAGTCCCTCCACTGGGTGACGATTCAAAGCGCAGTTTGTTTGACAGCCTGACCAAAAATTCCAAAGACGGATGTAGAACTGGGGGTCGGAATGAGAAATCTTCCTCCGATGTATCATTAATGGAAATTGTCTTGGAAACCAAAGAGTCAAAGCCATTGATTGATAAATCTACTGCGGCACCGGATGTAAAGGAGGAGGAAGTGGAGAAATTTGTGAGGAGTGTCTTGGCCAGCAATGAAAGGAATCTAAACCAGTACATGGTAGATGATGCCATGTCCATGAGGAGGGTGATCAACTCCATCAGAGTGACCGTGATAATCATGAAGGCCTTAAATGAAGAACTTCCTCCACCAGAATACATTGCAGCATGGGTGGTCTTGGCCAATGAGTGGCCCTGTCGCCTCAGCTGGATCATCCAGTGTGTGGAAGACGCTCAGCAGAGAGCAGATATCGATGGGAAGAAAGTGGACAACACTGATGAGTCAAAGACCTTATGGGACGTCTTCACCGAGTCCAGGGCAGAGTTGTACGTGATGAGTTCACAGATCGAGGACCTCCTCGAGCAAGACGGAGATCCTGAGATGTTTGAGAGGATCCTCAAAGTTGATTTCAAATTCACTGTGAAGAATTTGAAGACTTTTGAACTGGCGACGGTGAACTTGGATCATTCGATCAGGAAGGAGCTGGCTCAGATCAGAGGGACATCCAGTCTGAAAGATTCTGGCTGGATGAGGGACCTTGCTCCTCTGCCAATCGCAACCATCATCAAAATGGATAAAGAGGATGTTTGTGAAGAGGTAAGACCCTTCGAAAGATTTCAGACTAGCTTGACCTGGAAGTATCCATGGTGACTGGTGGGAACAAACAAATGCTGGGTAATCAAAGAAAACAACACTTGCTGAGCAGCTGCGTTATCAGTGTTACAACAGAAGAACATCTTGTGTATCGGTTTAAAGAGCAGCCTAACAAAAACTCTTCTTCGTTGAATGAGAAAGTCAGCCAATAATTAGTCTTCCATTCATACCATGAGAAACTACAAGATGATTTTCACACAGCGTGAGTATTTTTCTGCACAGCAGAAGGGCATAGTGGATTTGGTTTCCCTGCTGAGCAGTTGGAGGTGTACAGCTTGTTGTTGGCAGCTCTTTATTCAAACCCTCACAGTGGCTGCTTTTTCTTGTTCCACTACTTTCTGAAATATTAAGCTAGATGTGCTCTTCAAACATGCAGTGAATAAACAACTTTTACTGTCTCATTGCAAATACCGTACGTTGCATTTCTTTGCAATCAATGACACCCCATTTGTCACCACATTCATTCTTCTAGTTTTAAGCAGCAATTTAATTTAGATACAGATAAAGAGATGAACGGATTAACAGTAAACATTGAGGCTGTTAACTGAATGCTGCTCCATCTCCTGGAAAACCTTGTGTGGGGTTGACGATTTTAATAAAGTATGCAGTTTCAAGCATTACATTGAACCGAACTATTAAGATGTTAAAACCTTAAATGGCATTTTCTGAAAATGCGGAACATAAATGTATTAATGCTGGGATTCATTTCAAAACATCTTAAAGTTTATGGTCTGATTTTAGTACATTTTGTAACAATGCTGTATTAGTTGATTAGATTCTTCAACCTCACAAAACGGAACTAAACAGAACTGTATGAACTCTTGAAAATGCAAAAGAAAAGTATTTTCAGATCCATCATGTCATATAAGTGAATACTATGGGACTACATCTTGTTCTCCTCTGCATGTTTAACATTAAAATATTCTTGTTTTCCCAGTTGCAGAGGTTGAAATATCCTCCTGAGTATATTGATATTGTGAAGAGGAATAACCTCAGTGGTTCGGCACTGATCTTTGGTGATGCAGATGATCTTAAGGACCTCCTGAATATGACCTTTGGTGAATGGGCAACTTTCAGACTGCACTTCCTTCCACACTTGCCAACGCAGCTCCGACCACAATACAAGAAAACAACGTCAACTCCTCCTCACCCTCAGAACCGGCTGTCTCGATTACATGCTGCCCAGCATTACTCGTCTAACCCCAGTCTGGTTAAGAACTGCATGTAGGAATCCACGACAGAGCCATGAAGTCTGGCATCTCTAATATTGTGATTTAAATATGTAAGATTTCAATAACACCTGTGCTTTTAATACAGTATATTCTAACAAGTCAAAATGTTTGTTGTGAAAAGGGCCTGGACAACACTGCTGTATTTTTATAATTAAATGTGCTATGGAAGGTGGAAATTGAAAGTTAGCAGGGCGACAAACAAGCTGTGAAATATGTTAAGAAAAGGAAAAACATAAAGATTAACCAAAATATCTGTGAAAAGCTGTAATTTACTCATGCATAAAACTTTAATAATGTGTTGTCCTTGTTGCTACATTTTCTAATACCATAAAGAATGTGTTCTGTGCCTTTACAAAAAACATAAAAGCATGCTAGAATTTTGAATCTCTTGTACTGTAAAAAATAAAAGAACTGAACATTTAGGTTTAAGAAAAGCTGTAGTAGCTTCTGTATATATTTTCTTACAATTGACATAGATTGATTTTAGATATAATTTACTGATAATGAAGATAATAAAATACAGCGTAAGTATAAGCTCCAGTAAACCATAATGCTCTTTTTAATGCTAATCATTGAAACAGGTCAGGCAGCAAATGAAATGTAAGCTTATGTGTGCAATAATTAAACTGCTCATCAAAGTGTTGTTGGGTACTTGGTCAGGTTAAAAGGAGCACTAGGAATATGCTGATTCACCAATGATATTCGAACATCAAAGTAAAAAAAAAAAAAAAAAAAGTCAGCTGAAGGTTAATTTCATCCGGATTCCTTTGAACTTGTTTCCCTCAGAAAGCTGAAAAGGTTCATCCGTCTAAAAATATCAGAATAATAACCTCGGGCATTTACAGTACCAGCCAAACATATTAGTGAAAGTGTACAGTAAATATGTGTCTCAGCACCTGTTAGTAACTGGAAAATAATCTTTTTGCAGCATTTCTTATCATTGAAACATGATTTGTCCAAACCAAATATTCATGTTTTATCACACTGGGAGCCAGGGACCATCAGTGCAGATGAACAGCTAGGGAGTAATTCTTCATGAACTATTTACCTGAACATTAGAACCTCTGTAGCTCAACACATGAACAGAGACCTACACAGTATACATCATTATCTAAGATCAAATATATGTTGGAAACAGATTAGTATTAACATATCCAGTGGATTATCTAACACTTGGTCGTTGATTGAGGCTTCCAGTAATAACCCATATTACAAATTCAAATTCAAAATTCTTTATTTGTCCCCGGGGTGGGGGGGTGGGGGGGCAATTCAAAGGCACACAGAGCAGTAAATTAACAACAGTGCAGGTATACTAAACATTTAAACTAAATAATAAAAGTGTCACGGGACAGATTACCTTTTCCAGAAAATGTTTATTTCTTAAATCAGAAATGAAGAATCACAGAATCCTAAAGAATAAAGTGTCTGCTTTGTTACTGTTCACACATACTGGAAGAATACAATCTGAAATGGCAACAAGGCTAGTAAAAGTTAGCTTTTAGTATATACTTTCTCTAGATAAGATATATAAACTAAGGCTAAACTGTTGGATGTCTGTATGCCAGTTAGATTTGAACCATTATTTGTTCTTTAAGACACAGTATATATATATATATATATATATATATATATATATATATATATTCAAGGCACAAGGGTTATTCAATATAATGCCAAACAACAGTCTATTCAAGTTCAAGAAAATCTTATTTTAATCTACGATATATATATATATAGAAGTTAGCTACTTTACTTTAGTAGGCTTCTGGGTAAAATCAAAATATAACGGCACAACAAATGTCTTGTTTAAAATAACTAGAAGTGGACAATTTAGGAATAAGTAAAAAAATTAAACCAAACTGTGTATAAAAACAAACAACAGAAAGCATCTAATAAGCAACTTTTAGACAACAGCACAGTGATTGACATGTATACGTTTGAAATGGATCACAGATTGAAATGACAAACACTCATATCATGTTTGATTGTGGGTCTTTATGTTGTGAAGCAGAAGCACTCGTTGATATTTTAGCATCGCAGGCATTAGTAGGAACACTTCCACATTGTTTGGTTGGAAGCAGCTCACTTGCGTCCTAATGACTCAGCCAGCTTCTTCAGCCTTTTCTTCAGCTCCAGGGGGAACTTCTCATAACACTTTTTACAAACGGGCTTCATGTCAAACTCAACAAATTTGTTCCTGAAAAAAAGAAAGAAAAAAGAAGACCATGTCAGTGCCAAAAATTCAACATTTTCATTTTACATTTCCCTCCAGCATGAATCATTGATATCCGAGAAATATCTTGACATCAGGTTAACTTTATCTGAAGACACAACCTCTTGTTTTAAATTCTATTAGGCAGCAATGTCAATCTTCAAGTGTGGAATTACTATGATAACCAATGAGTTTTGACCTTTAGTGCAATGAGCAACAGCAGTAACTTTACTCATCCTAACAAAACCTCTAATCAGCTCACAGAAAATTAATCTGTAATTGTTTTGTTAATCACTTAACCATTTAACTTAAAAAGCACATTTAGAAACATCTTAACTGATTGAACAGAACATGCAGCATTAGGAATATAAAACAAATACAATCAATGCTTTGTGCCACTAAGAAGATGCAACTGGGAAACTGAAGGATAAACGTGGCTCTACACGCTCGGGACAGGTTACTTGTTGCTGTGGTTTGTGGCTCATGAAGTTAAATAGTTTGATCATCCTTTACTGGTGTTAGGAAATGAACAAATTACATGTTTAAGCTTTCAAATCTGCCATGGCATTATTGAGATTATGCAGCTTCAAGTATTTTACTGAACACTAGTTTACTTATCTCAATCATGCAATATGAATGTTGAGCTAGATGAACGCATTGTGCATTAAACTCGTTTCTTATCTGTTCAGTGTCACTTCATTTCTGCATGTGGTTGTGTTAACTGTATGCACAAGATGGTTTGTTTTTTTTTGGTCTTATACTGGTAATGTTGTTGAATTGATGCAATTTGTTTCTACTCGTTTGATCAAGTAGTGTCTCTGTAGATTTTAGTTTTCGTTTTTTTGTCGTATAATTTCAGAGTAAATCGTTGATTGACTAAAGATGAAAATCATTGCAGAAGCCCTGAACTCTGAAAATTACTAAATGGGTGTCTGATTAAAAAAAAAATGAAACAATCAATAAACAAAATAATCATTAGTTGCAGCCTCACACCTAATAAATCAATGAAGAAAAGCTCATGCTTTATATATACGTATATATATATATATATATATATATATATATATACACACACACACACAATATAATACATGCACACTTTTGTGTTTGTGTAAAACCAAAAAAGCATGCCATAGGAGTAAACAAGGAACAGCACAGAAAAAGAGGAAAGCAGAGGAAGAACACACCAAGAGATGGAGTGCTGAGTTGTTAAGAATAATAACTCTACAGACTCGAAGCAGGTTTTTTCTTGTGGCCTTTGGCATTGCGCTCACGTCGGGCCAGACGCCGTTTTAGCTCCTCAGGCATGCGCTCATAGCAGTGCTTGCACACTGGACTCAGGTCAATTTCAACAAACTTATCTCTGCGTTACCATGGAAGCAGCAAGTGAAGCGTGTTAAGAGGAGAAATTGGAGGGAAAGGAAAAAAGAGGGACGAGTTGTAGCCAGAGAGTGAAATACACAAAGACAGGTTTAAACATTAAAGTAGTGGTTAAAGTCATGTTTACATTGTTACAGATCGAGGCAACAAACAATTGGCTGTTAGTATTGTACACAAAAAGTTAAAGAAGCAATTAATGAGCCACATCACTTACTTGAGAGTGAGTTTGGTGTTGCAGGTGGAGCAGGAGAAACAACTGACACACCAGGCCTTGTTGAGAGCAGACACCACTGATGGAACCACAAAGAAAAAAATAAAATGATTAAAATCCAGCTCCTAGAAATCTGCAAGCAAAATTTAATGTAAATGTCTACAAAAAAATGTCAAAATAAGAGCGTTATCATACTGTAGTTGTACTCACCATCACCTTCAATCACACGGTTGCAGTGGTAGCACACGTCTCCAAAGAGCTGGACAGCGGAACAAGAAGATTTATGTTTATGTACAGCAAACATACTTTTCCTTACGCAGAGCAATGAGGGATTTATTGCATTGTGTTATTTGAGACATGACGCTTTGTCGTGTCCCCCAAAAAACCTTGACATGATTTGGCTCCTTGTTCCTTACCTGGTTGTAATGAGTCTCACAGTAAGCCAGCCCCTTCCTCTCGTAATGCCGATGACCGAGGAACGGCTTCTCACACTTGGCACACACAAAATGCTGTAAACAAAAACAAATGTTGCTGAGGGAAAGAGGGAAAACCCTTAATGAAGGCACGTGAAAGAGGAGCAGATGTCAACACACATGAGAGGGAGCTCATTTCTTTTTCAGTAGTCTGAATAATGAATATTTCACGAGCATTACATGAATATATTTATGTTATAGACTTAAACTGTAAAAATAACTATTTCCATAGTAAGCTTTCATTTTTGTTTTGTTGTTTCCCTATCAATATCTCTGTAATATTAATAATAAAAGTACTTAATTTAATGTCTTTTATTTGAATGGTACAAAATTTGGCAGCCTCCAGATGGACGAACATACAGCTTGATGAGGAAGAAGTCATTTTCTAAAGACGTCCTCCTGCCTCAAATCAGCTCATTACTAGTTCATTGGTTCTGATGAGGCTTTTTCATGAATTCTATTTTCCTGTGCTTGTGAATTTGGCGCAATGGCGACAAACATTACGCTTAACATCATCGATAAAAAGGTAATCTGTGAAACATTTAGCCACTTTCGTTTATGCATGTGTTTTTTTTTTGAATGCATACTCTCTAAAGCTGAAACCTCTCTCTGGGAATCTGGACAACACATCCACTCATTGGAAAGATTATGTCCATCATGGCCACAGCAAAAAAAAAAGGTCATGATTACTAAGGTAAACTTTTAATGACCAAGTTTTCTTTAGAATTAAACTCCCTGTTTAAACTAGCTCTTCAAACAACAAACAGCGACAGGAACTTTTAATTGTTTCAAGTATTTATAGTCTCATTCTTGCTAACAAACCTCCACATGCCACTGCTTGCCCATAGCATTGACAACACGCCCCTCGATGGGTCTCCTACAGGCTCCACAGATTGGAACACCCATCTTGTCGTGGCAGGGCAAACAGAAGAGCTCTCCCTTCAGTTCCCTGGCTTCAACTGTCAGTTCCTTACTGCATAGAAACATAGTAACGCACATAAGAGAGAGAATACAGGTTTTGAGCATTTGAAACATAATCAGCCTGAGAGTGTGTCGTTTCTCTACTAAACTGACACGATAGGTGAAAAACACTGACCCACAGTTGCTGCAGTTGAAGTGGTCTGGGTGATAGGGGTCGTTCTTAAAGATCAGAGGCTGCTCCTCAATGATGGCATGGCACTTCTGGCAGATATACTTGCCCAGGCCACGGGCTTTCTCGCGGTTATGGCAGGGGCGACACAGGTGCCTGAGGTAAGTGGAGGAAAGACAAGAAAAACAGGGGTGTCAAGGGAGACTGCCTCAAATAATGTTTTGACATACTCTGTCACAGCTGCTCAGAATTCCATTATTTATAAATACACAAGTG